TCTTCTTCCAGTTTCTCCAACACAGGCCACACCCACTCCTGCTGCAGAGACTTCGCACATGCTGTTCCTGCTGCCTGGATCCCATTCACTGATTTCAGTTCCTTGTCTTTCAGCTCTTTAGCTCAATCTTTATCTCGCCGTACTGACTTCCCTAACTCAGCTACTTCCCTCTATTAGACACTCTCAAAATTGCTGCTCTTCTTTGTAAAACATTTTATATTTATCCCAATAATCCTTGGTTATTTTATACCTCTATCACTGGAAGCCTCACAGACAATGAAAAATATGTTAAATGAACAAATGAATGAATGAATGCAGGCAGGGGACTGAAAGATCTTTGTTTTCTTAGTAAAGGTATGATAGATGGGAACATAGAAACATAAAGGAAAAAAAAGAGCAGGTAGAGGAGGCTCAGCACAGCTTTCCCTCCAGCTCTCACCTGTGCACAAGGAGAAGGATCTTTTGGTAGGCATTTGGCTCCAGAGCAAGGCTGGCAGGGCCAGGAGGCAAGACCATGAACTTGGTTTCATCAGGAGCTCCAGCAGTCCTCCTCTGACACTGAGCAACAATTAAAAGGCAGGAAGGTAATGGGGCACCTCCTCTTGCCTCTAGCCCCCCACTCAGTTTCCTAATATTGAGGGAGAAGCAGGGATAAGACGTCTTTGGAAGAGTCTCTATCATGACAGGCAGGCAGAAAGCAGTAAGAGGAAAGGAGGGAGATCTGTTAGAGCTCAGATGAAATGACTGAGAATCCAGGGGCTTGTCTGGTGGCAATATTGTCAGCCACGGAAGAATCCATTTCTAATAGCTGCTTCTTATACATTATTCATGAAAACAGGAAGACAGAGCCGATAACATCAGAATGATGCCACTGTCCAGCAAATCTAATGACTGTAGCTTGAGGGCATTTTAACTAGTGTGGAAAAATATTTTTGCCAATTTGAGGTCCAGAAGGGTTAGAAAGCTAACTTAAACTGGAAGGGCTGGTGAGTTTCATTTGGAAAAAGGCGTGGCCTTCCGCCAGCAACATCTGTTTTGTTGTGGTGTCTGGGCCATTCCTACCTTCTCATTTCTTAGTTTCTAATGGAAGAATTATTGCTGCTCTAGTTAAATAGCCCTAGGTTTTCAAATCAGTCTCTATTTTCCTACTTGTCATTCAAAAGGCAGGGACAAGCAATAGGACTTTGTGAGGGCTTTGCTGGATTTCAATATAAATTATTAGCTTCTAATCTCTCCAAGCCTAAGTGCTTTTTAAACAGTGAGAGTCTTCTGCTGCTGCTGAAATCTGATGTTTTCCCCCAATTTCTGATTCATTATAACTGCAAGATTCATTTCTTCTTAACAACCCCTTTGACTGGCTGTCAAAAAGCCAGGAGGTTAGTCTGTTAAAAAGGAAGAGAAGAAAATTAGGAATGGAGGCCATTCTCATTGTCCCAGTGGTACAGGGAGGGAGGTGGCAGCTCACGTTAGTTCTTAATTTGCTATTTTATTTTGCCATTTGTTTATTGTGCAATTCTTAATTTGTTATTTTCTGATCTACGTGTAGAATGTTCTGGCTTCCTGAACATCAGTTGATGCATTTCAATCAATTACATTCATTCATCCATTTCAAAAACAGTTATCAAGGGTATGTGATGTGTCTAGGGCAGCAGTCCCCAACCTTTTTGGCACCAGGTACTGGTTTTGTGGAAGACAATATTTCCACAAACAGGAGGGAGTCGGGAGGGATGATTTGAGGATCAGGCATTAGATTCTCGTAAGAAGTGCATGGCCTACATTTCTGGCATTTGCAGTCCACAATAGGGTTCGAGCTTTATGAGAATCTAATGCCACTGCTGATCTGATAGGAGATGGAGCTCAGGCCATAATGCTCACACACCTGCACTCATCACCTGCTGGGTGGACCAGTTCCTAACAAGCCACGGACTGGTACCAGGGTTCAGGACCCTTGGTCTAGGGCACTTGTAAACTGTTTGCAGAGTCAAAGATGAATCCAGCCTCGGTGCCTGCCTTCAGGCAACTTATAATCTCTGCAGACAGATGAATGAATGACTGAATAACAGCATAAAACAGTGTTCTTCTAGGTGTACTGGGAGAGGAAATAATGGTGAGAAATGGTGGGGGTGGGGTTCAGATGATCAGGTTTTATTTCAATCATTATTTTATTTTCAATTCTATTATATAAACATAACTAGCCCTTCCAACCTGTAGTTTCACAGACACTACTCAGGAGACTGATGAAGTTGATTTAAAGGAAATATGAATAATAAATAGACCAAGTGGTATTAGGATGTGGAAAAATGACAAAGTTGGTAAATAATAGTAATCATGATTATAACAGCCAACACTTATAAAGTGCTTAGTATGGGTCAGATACTATTTGTAAGTGTTTCTTGTATTTTTGTATAATTTTTATAGCCACCATAAGGTACAATTACCATCCCTATTTTGCCAGTAAGGAAATTGAGCCCAGAGAGCTTATGTGACTTGCCTAAGATCACACAGGTACTGGATTGGAATCCAGACAGTTGGCATCTACGTGCATGCTTAAAAAAACCAAGATGTGGGACCCCCAGGAGATAAGGAGCAACCCAGCCTTGGGAGGTGAGGGTCAGAGACAGTTCAAGGCAGAGGCAGTGTTTAAAGTAGCTTGTAAAGGATGAGGACTGTGGACCAATGGACAGGAGGCAAGACGTCAGTTACCACCTGGAGGTCTGTCCTGCAGACCCTGACTCAATGACTTTCACACCTGGTTCAGTGATCCAAGTGAGCTAAGGATGATTGTCAGCTGCTTTCAGAGGGCGAACTGCAGCCAATCCACCAAGACCTCCGGTACCTCCACACATTTATTCAGTAAAGATTTTATAACAGAGGTCCTAAAGAAACATGCTTGTGGATAATTAACACGGTTAAAAGAGTGGCTTTACAAATGATAAAAGCTTTAGGTTCTGGGGCCCAGAGTAAACACTATTAATGGGTAATTTCCCTTTGACCTCCCCCTGAAAGGACCATCCAGCACAAAGTTTACATGAATAAACAGAGTAGAGACAAAGGGGTGTGGGGTAAACAGACTTAACTGGGAAAGCCTCTTATCATCCCTATCTTTTTTTCTAACTTAATGGACCGGCCATCTTTTGCTTGTCCCAATAAAACCTTTTGGCCTTCCAAAAGGTTTGAGACTAATTTGTAACTTTCCCTAATATTTCCCTAATATTGTGCCAGCCACCCCGAGTGAATGTCAGCAAGGAGGCAAGGGCATTTTAGGTGGAAGGGCTGGGCCACCGCAGGGCACAGCATGTTTGGAGCTGCAAGTGGTGGGCTGGGAGTGGCATGATGGTGTAGCAGAGGGCATGTGATGTGGGAAAGGAAACAGGGTTCATGCTACTAAAGGCCTCCTGTGTCTGTCTGGACTTTACCCTCTGAGATACTGATTAAATTTTCACTCTGGAAAAAGACTTTGATGGCCGTGGAGGGGTCTGGCCATGTGGGGGGCTGGCCGCATAGAGAGCTGGATGACTCAGAGAGGCCTGGGAGGGGCGCTTTTTCTCAGTTGCTCAGGAAATGGAAACTTCATGAGTCAGAAGGAACATCTGCCCCCAGGATCGCTCTCCATTGAGTGGAAGCAGTTATGAGATTGACTAGATTGTCTGGTGGGGCCAGGGGAACACAACCTTACACCTACCTTCTCCCTCCTCCTCCACCTTGCAAAACTCTGGTCTCATAAAGGGACCCAGGCTGCCTGCCTCAAGCTGAGGCCCCTCTCCAGTCCTAGTTACAGAAACCCAGGAGGCCTTGCTTACCCTATCACTACACTGGCTGTTCTACTCCCCATGGACGAGAGCACCTGGCATCCTCCCTAAGGCTGCCTGGGTGTGGATCTGCAGATACAATCTCTATCCTTCCAGGTTTCAGGACCTAGGGCTTGGGGAGGGTGGAAGCCCAGTTTTCAGGCTGGATCCTTACTATCTTATTCATCAACCCAGCTGTACCAATAACAAACCAGTTACTATGTTTCAATCCCCATCTGGTATCAGGTCTGGTTTGATTAAGACTAAAAGGAAGGCATGCAATTGATTCACAACAATAGCCATTCCTCACCACAACCCCATGCATTGTCCCCATTTGGATAGGGGAACAGGCTCGAAGGGCTTAAGCAACTTGGGGGAGGTCACAGTTGGTGAATGCCACAGCCGGGAATCAAGGACATGGCTTCTCTCACTTCAAACAAACAAACAAACAAACAAAAACAAACAACTCCCTGCCCATATTTCAGGTAACTAAGCTGGTCTTTAAAAGTCTCTCATACACTAGTATAACTGCTAGAAATCAGAAAGTTTAAAGAAATATTCTCTCTGGGTAGTTTTGGATGTGCAACTTAAGTCTTACAAATAAAATAATCATGAATGATGAAATTATAATTATCATAGAAAGGCAGCTGCCTATTTGGATAGACTTACACATTTTATAGTATTCAGTGTTAACACTGGCCAATTTTCCCCCCTTGGTTCTTCTCTGAATTTCAATGAATTTTTCATCAGCGTATTAATTAGTGCAAATCTTGGATTGCACTTTGTAATTAAGATCTTATGTGTTCCTCTAGATCTTACATTTGAGTTAAATGTTAATTTTTCAAAAAGAAAAATTAGGAATTTGACAACTGCCTTCCTTCCTGGCAATAGAATATACATGCTGCCTGTCAAAAAAGATGGAGTGCCTGAGTTTCTAAGATAGGGAGTGACAGATTATTCATCATGAAATTGCAAACTCATTTGCCCAATCTCATAATCAATTGCTGACAGCAGTTTTTCTGGAAACCCACTTGTGAAACACATTTGAGAGTCTAGTCACCTAATGTTAACTCAAATTCCTTGACTTGCCATTAGTCTTTGTAACCTTAGTCCATGTCCTGATTTGCTCTAATTTCTATCAATTTTAAAGTCACCAGAAGAAAGTTATGTAGTATGAGTTCATTTTTCCATAGGAATAATAACAGTTCTTACCACATGCTCTTGACAGGCAATTCTCCATGGTTCTCTCATATTTCCGCACATCTCCTGAGCAGGAACACTGACTTTTTGTTGTAGGTTATCTTTTCAAAGATACTTTTTAGCAAACAGCCTTGGAAGACAGAGATAGTATCTTCTCCTGGAACAAAGAACAGGCATGCTTACTGCCCATTATAAAAGATTTGGGTTCCCTAAGCTCAGGGTTCTCCTCCTGTAAAGCAGCCCACTGTATTTGCCGGTGATGTCTTTGTGTCACTCCATGGCAGCTGAGCTCAGGGAGCTGGCACAAATACTGATGCTACTGCTACAGCTGTTGCTGTAATAAAGTCCTTTGCTTCTGACCAGGGGTCGTGTGTCATCTACCAGCTTCTATGAAAGATGTCAGGCTAACTTGAGAGCTTGCAAGTAGGGTAAAAATTCCAGAGCATTCACAGTCCTTGAGACATGCTAGGCACTGTTGTGTGTGTGTGTGTGTGTGTGTGTGTGTGTGTGTGTGTCCTTATAACAACTTTATGTGGTAGGTATTTCCATCCTTCTTTTACAGATGAGGAAATAGAGGCACAGAGACATTATTCAAGTAGGTGGCAAAGCCAGGATTTGAACCAGGCAGTGTGATTCTGGTGTCTGTGCTCTGCTTCCTCTTTCTCCTCTCTTAAGCACATGATCCCATAGCTTGCCTTAGCTACTGAATTGCAATTTAAAAATGGAGTGCTGCTGTGTATCTCTTAGAACAAATTGACCAGTTATTGATGTGAATGATGCTCCTTAAAAAGTTCCAGGAAGTTTCTGTGTATTCACCTTGTGAATATTTATAGAGCTAGAAACACCCTGGTTGTTGCCTGTGGTGTAGCCTGTGCTTTTGGTGCCTAGGAGGGGATTGCCTGGGAGTAGCCAGTAGGTATTCTTGTTCCCTCTTGTAGCTTCCACTGGGAAATCCATTTAGGATAGTCCTCCCCTGGCCTACTCCATTCTCGGGGAACAACTACCCTAATCTTCTGCTTTCCAATACCACAATTAATAACAACAGTAAATAATAGTGATACTGCCATCATTCAGCAAATATGCTTCATGTGCCTGCTTTGTAGCAGGTGTTATAGGCACTTGGGGTGAACCAGTCAATTCAACTAAGACCTTGCTGCATCTAGCTGGGGAGACAAGCAATGAGTGAACAGACAAATATGTAATGCCAGGTGTGGTTAATTTCCATGAAGAAAATCAGAGCAGTCGGGGGATAGGGGGTGACTGGGGGGCTACTTTAGAATGGCAGGTGGGGCTCTCTGAAAGAGGGGACATTTAAGCCAAGACCTTAGTGCATGATTGAGATTTGCTGAGTGCCAACTATTTGCACTTTTGTAGGCTTCAGGGATACTTCAGTAAGCAAAAGAAAATCATTCTAATTAGGCAAGGCAGGCAATAGACAAGCAGACAAATAAAACCCTGAGCATGGCCACAGTGCCAGGAGTGCAAGAAAGTGTAAGGAAGCAGGGAAGGGGCAAGAACCCTGCAGGAGGGGCAAGGGTGGTTCAAATTGAAACTGGGGAAATCAATGAAGGTCTCACTGAGGAGGTGACATTGAGTAAAGTCCTGAAGGAAGGGAGGGGAATGAGCCACAAGGCCAACTAGTATAAGAGTGTCGCCGGTAGAGGAATGTGTTTGGTGAATAGCATTGAGGCCAGGATGGCTGGAACAGAGGGAACCGAGGGAGAGGTAAGGATCAGGCCAGATTATACATGACCTCATGGTCACAGTTAACGACTTTGGCTTCCACTCTGGGTGAGATGGAAGGCAACCAGGGGGTTCTGAACAGAGACATGTCATTATCTGACTTATAAAATAATAGCCATAATCCTCTTGGTAGCTGTCATTGGTTAATGCTGCTATGTGCTGGTCACTGGGACGTCATCTTAGGGAATCCTCCATACGGCGTTCTTAGGGAAGATTACTATTATTTCCATGGTACATACTATGATTTGAATGTTTGTGTCCTCCAAGCTTATGCTGAAACTGAATCCCCAGCATGGCAGTATGGAGAGGTGGAGCCTTGAGGTGATTGGATCACGAGGGCTTGGGCCTCATGAATGGATTAATTCATTCATGGGTTAATGGATTAATGGGTTATCCTGGGAGTGGGACGGCTGGCTTTATAAGAAGAGGAAGAGGCACCTGAGCTAGCAAGCTCAGCCCCCGGCCATGTGCTGCGTGCCCCATCTTAGGACTCTGCAGAGAGTTCCCAGCAGCAAGGACACCCTCAGCAAATGTGGCCCCTCGACCTTGGACTTCTCAGCCTTCATAACTGATAGAATAAATTCATTCTATTTATAAATCACCCAGTTTCAGGTATTTCTGTTATAAGCAACAGAAAATGAACTAAGACAGTACAGATGAGCTAACTGAGGCAAAGAAGAATTGAGGAAATTTCCCCAAAGTTGCACCATTTCTCCACACAGGATTCTTTTTTTTTTTTTTTTTGAGACGGAGTTTCGCTCTTGTTACCCGGGCTGGAGTGCAATGGCGTGATCTCGGCTCACCGCAACCTCCGCCTCCTGGGTTCAGGCAATTCTCCTGCCTCAGCCTCCTGAGTAGCTGGGATTACAGGCACGTGCCACCATGCCCAGCTAATTTTTTGTATTTTTAGTAGAGACAGGGTTTCACCATGTTGACCAGGATGGTCTCGATCTCTTGACCTCATGATCCATCCGCCTCGGCCTCCCAAAGTGCCACACAGGATTCTTATTCCCTAACCCCAGGCGGGCCCTCAATACAGCTCAGTGATCCTTTGGCCTGTTGACTGCCATCCTCCCCATGCCTCCATCTTTACAGAGAAACCCCATCCCCATCCCAGCTTCTCCCTGGCCTCGTGGCCCAGTCCCACACTTGTAAGCATCTGTGCACCTCTGGTCTTCGGCACCTAGGCTCCCCTTCCTTTTCTAAGAACCTCACCCTCCCTTCATACTCCCGTAGTTCCTCCACAATGTGGGTTCACTAGGCACCACGTGCCTGCCCCGGTTCCACCATGTTTGTCAGTCACGTGTCTAGGTTTACACCAATGGAATGGGAGGTGAAGGGCTGTGTGAATCTCTAATTCCTGTCCTATGTTTTTTTTCCTTTTTTCACAGCCACATTGCTAAAGAACAATCCCCACTTCCTTGCCTTCTGTGCATTCCCAGGCTGTAGTCTGGCCCCCTCCTTCCTCACCCCACTGAAAGGAGCCCCGCTGAGCCTGCCATTGATCTGCTGGTGATGAGGTGTCAGGCATGCATGCAGACATTTTACATCTGAACTGCTCCAAGCCTGGCTAATGGCCACCCCCTTGGACCTCGTCCACCCAGCACCCAGTCAACCATTCTGATGGCTCTTTCTCAGTCTCTTAGGTCCCTTCACCCCCAAAATTCATACTTTTTTTTTTGAAGGGGAGTCTAACTCTGTTGCTCAGGTTGGAGTGCGGTACCACGATCTTGGCTTGCTGCAACCTCCACTTCCTGGGTTCAAGTGATTCTCCTGCCTCAGCCTTCCAAGTGGCTGGGTTACAGGTGTCCACCACCATGCCTAGCTAAATTTTGTATTTTTAGTAGAGGTGGGGTTTCACCATGTTGGCCAGGCTGATCTCGAACTCTTGACCTCAAGTGATCCATTCCCTTCTCACTCACGTCTGTAATATTGTCTGCTGGGATTACAGACGTGAGCCACCACACCTGGTCTAAACTGGTACATTTTAAGTTCTGTTCCTGACCATCTTCCTATTCTACCAGCATCATCCCATGCATGTACTCATGGACATTTAATGTTGTATTTTTAGCCCAATGTACCTCCTACATTTTAGTCTTTCTAACCATCTATGTGACGTTCCACTTAGATAGGCCACAGATGCCTGGACTCTTATAACGAAATCTGAGTCAATCCTCCCTCAACTCACCTCCCCACAGTGATTCCAGCTTAACCTCTGCCTTCCCTCCTTTCCACCACCCCTGTCTGATTAGTTGCTCAGTTCCATAGATTCCACCTGCCTCAAAGAGTGCCTCGCCCCTCCCTGTCCTCATTGCCAGTGCCTTGCTTGATTTTATCAGCCGCCCCTACCTGGAACACAACAGGGATCTACAAGTCTTCTTAATTCTTGCTTGGTGGTTCTCACAAAGATCACCTTGGAAGCTTCTGGAAAGTGCAGATTCTCAGGCTGTACCCCCAGAGAGTCCGATTCTGTAAGACCAAGGTACAGTCCAGGCATGTGCGTTTTTAATCAGCTCACCACTGGAATCATCCAGTGCAGGTGGTCCCTAGACCACTCTGTAAAAACCACAGGACTTGCCCTCTCTTTATTCCAGTCCATTAACTACATGATTAATTACTAAAGCTATTACTACCTAACATTTTTGGAACACTTATTTTATCCCAAGACTGTGTTGAACTCTCTATATGCCTATGGCCTGTTAACCTAACAACTCTATGTTTTAACTATGATTATGATTCCGTTTTAACTTTGGGGAAACTGAGGCACAGAAAGCAAAGTTAGCCCAAGGGCACATTCTCTCTGATCCACAGCCAAGTTCTCATGAGTATATCTTACCATCTCCTTTGCTCCCCATGGCCCAGTTATATGCCAAATGTCTTTAGTTCTATGTATGACATAGTTCTCTGCTTCTCTATGCCTCTGAGCCTTTGTCATGTGGTTCTCCTCTTTGTCATGTGGAAATGACCATCTGTATCAGTTTCCTATGACTTCATAACAAAAAACAAATATAGCGGCTTAAAACACCCACTTATCAGCTCATAGTTCTGGAGGGCTAAAGCCTGACTGCAACGTGACTGGGTCCTCTATTCAGGGTCCTACAGAGATAAAATCAAGGTGTCAGATGGGACTGGGTCTCATTCGGCTCAGGGATCACTTCCAAACTCCCTGCTTGTTGGCAGAGTTCAGTGCTCTTACAGTGCTAGGACTGAAGTCTGGTTTCTCTGCTGGCTGTCCGCCGGGGGTCGTTCTCAGCTCCTGGAGTTGGCCTGCATTCCTTGTCACATGGCCCCTTTCATCTCTAAAGCCAGCAAAGAAAATCTTGCCCACGATGAGTTCCTGTCACTTGTCAAATCTCTTCTGCCAGGACAATGCAGCCCCTTTCAAAGGTTCATCTTGTTAGATTAGACCCACCCAGGATCATCTCCAGATCTTAAGATCAACTAATTTGGGAACTTTACTTACATCTGCAAATTCTCTTCACGGAATTACCTAAGTTGTTTGATAAAATAACTGGGCAAAGGTGTGTGTACATTGTGAGGACGGTGGGGCTGAGAATCTTCAGGGGTCATTTTAGAAGTCTGCCTCATCTTCAAAACTCAGCTCAAGGGTGACTGTCTTTCTTGAGGCCTCTAGGCAGAGCTACGTCCACCCCTGTACCCCATAGCATCCAATACACACCGTTTTACTGGTTCATTCCCCCCAGCTGGACTGAGCTGAGATTCTGGAGGTCAGAAACCAAGCTTTGGTCATCTTGGTGTGCCCAGCTCCTGGAACATTGCCCGACTCTATTTGCTGCCTGAGAGCTCAGGATGCGCTCGAGCAAGCTCTCCAGATGAGAAGCGCATTTGCATTAGAGCTGCATGCATCTCAGGTACAGGGATGTTGACAGGGGACAGCAAGTGCTTCCGGGAGGTCACAGGAAACGTCATCAGCACCCAGGGCTCCAAAGCCTTCTAGCAGAGAACCAAGGGCAGGCAAGCACGCCTTCTGAAAAGCCCAGTGAAACCAGCGTCGCCGTGACGGTGAGGCGGATGGGCCACTAGGTGTCACTCAAGATTCAATAAAGAAACGCGAGTGCTTGGAAAGCTGTTTCCGCCCTTCTGGGGAAGACAGCCGATTAGACGGTCCCCACCCATTGTTTTCTGGTCCATGTTCCAAACCGTCTGCGGCTCTTCACTACCCTCCGCGGACAAGTCTGGGTCTAAAATAGGGCCACAGAATCCAAAGCTGGGGACCACCCGACCGTCTAATTCAGCCTCCAGGTTTTGTGGACCAGCAATCAGAGCCGGGGACTTGCGCAGGGCGGGTAACAGACACCCGCTTATCTACAGCCCGCAGTGGGGTCTGTGCGCCCCTCCCTACCCTCGAGCAGCTGCGAGGAGGCGCGGGTGGGTCCCTGCTCTCGGCCTGGCTGTCCAGGGTGTCCTGGGTTGTTCCGGGGGCTGCACCGCGAGGTACCCTTCAGGACCACTTCCAGATGCTCAGGCCGCATTCAGCTGATCCGGCGCTTGTGCTCCAGAACCCAAGACGAGGAAGGTGACATGGTCAAAAGAAGGTCACGTGGATCTGTTTAGGACCTGACCTTTGTTCAGATCATCTCAAACAATTTCCTCTTTCTTTGGATTTTAGGGTTGGGGAGTGGGGACGCACCTGGTTTCCTGATAGCGTCTGCAATTAAACAGTCCTTTCCCTTGTGCCAGGGGGAGGTTCGGGGCTGAAGGGAGGGGGTTGGAAAATGCTCGTGCAAAGCACCTCCTTGGCGGGAGTTTGTTTTTTCTATCCCCACCCCACTATGTTCCCCCTGGAAGAAGTGGATGTCCACGTGCGAGGTTCGAACAGGCTGCAGGACCAACGCATCGCGCGTGCGGACTCATCTTCCTCACCCCCGGTAGAGGGCGCCCTTCCCACGCTCCAGCGCCCCGCCGGGCGAGCCCCTCCAGTCGCGCCCCGGGCCTTGCCTCATCCACGCCTGGCCTCCAGCGCTAGGTGCCTGAAGCCCTACAATGGGAGAATTTCAAAGCCACTTCTGACTTTAGGCACAGCCTTTGACTGTCCCGTTCCTTTTGCTCTCAGCTGGCTTACTGCTCATTTTTATTTTCTTAAGTGAATATTGAAACTTATTTGCATTTCGTGGAGCTCCTGGTAACAACAGAGAGAGCTCACCTGGCAGGGTGAGAATCCCGCTAAGGAAGATGATTTAGGACGGAGGTTCCCGCCAGGGCTTACCCACAAAGGGAATAATCTTATCTACAAATACAAATAATTTCCTTTAACACTTGCAAAGGGGGCTGGGCGTGGTGGCTCACGCCTGTAATCCCAGCACTTTGGAAGGCTGGGGGGAGGGGGGCAGATCACTTGCGGTCAGGAGTTCGAGACCAGACTGGCCAACATGGAGAAACCCTGTCTCTACTAAAAATACAAAAATTAGCCGGTCGTGTCGGCGTGCCTCTGAGTAGCTCTGAGTATCCATCAAAGATGTGTGCCTGCAATCCCCGCTACTCAGAGGCTGAGACAGGAGAGTCGCTTGAACCTGGGAGGCAGAGCTTCCAGTGAGCCGAGATCGCGCCACTGCGCTCCAGCCTTGGCCACAGAGCGAGACCCCGCCTCAAAACAAAACAAAGTAAAACTCGCAAAGGGGTTTTCCTGTGTAAAGCTTAACCAATTCTATTTATCTCTTTCCTCTTCATGAAAAGATTGATCCATTCATTTATTTCTCAACTGGTATTTTACTGAATACCTTCTCTGTGCCAGGTACCAGGGTGAAAAGGGCAGAGTTGGTTCCTGGTTTGGGTGGAGCTGATGGTCTAATAAGGGAAGATATATTGAATAGACACGTTAATTGGTCATACATAAGATAAATGCGACACAGGAAAAACAAGGGCTTCTGGGAGAGGCTGTCACAGGGAACCACCCTGAATGTCAGGCATACCTTTCCTCCTGGACGCTCTCTTCTCACTCTTGCTGCTGCAAGCTGATAAAAATCATGACCTCCCAGAAGCTGGGTGAGTCAGTGCGTTCAAGGCTTCATATCCCCACGTAAGGTAACAAGAGTCAGGGTCTGGCTGAAATCTCCTCTACCCGCTCACATTCCTGGGCTGAGTGCCACTCTGCAAGGTGTGAGCCATTTTGCCTGATGAAATCCACATTGCAGATTTTCCCTGAGGCCTGATGACTAACAAGGTCTGAAAACAAGACACCTCGGGGTGCCGCATCCTCCTCCGCCTCTTCAGTGTTTATGGAACACCTCCTGGATATCGGGTGGGTGTTCGGTGCCAAGGATGCACACAAAATAGGAGGAGTAGAATATGCCAAATGCCAAGGAGGGCACGGATTAGTGCTTCCCAGAGTTTGAGATTTTATGAGCAGCTAAACATGAGAGCTTATTAACTAGCATCAGGTGTTGCTAATTCCGTCAAAGGATAAAAGAGGTTCAACCTAACAGTGGCCTAAACAAGACAGAAAATAGAAGTTTCTCTCTATCCTGAGAGTCCAGAGTCCCACAGAGTAAGGGAAAGGTGAGGGTGAGCATTTTGCTGCCCTTCCTGTGATGTTCCCAAAGGAAAGAAAGGAGAAAGAGACTCACACAATCCATTCTCCACCCCGCAGCTGCAGCCTGAGTAGTCTTTGAAATATGTCATTCAGATTGTTATCCTGCTTCTCATCTTCCTGTGGCTTTCCATAACTGGCCAGAAGCCCTCCACCCCCCACCGCCGTGCCTGCCTCTACCACCTGCTCCTTGCTCATCGCACTCTGGCTTAGCGCCTGGGGCCTTTCTGCAACGTGCACACACCAAGCTCTTCATAAAGCTAGGCCTCTGCATGCACGATGCCCTCTGGCTGGAAGGCCCTTTCTGCAGCTCCTTCTATGGCTTGTTCACCTCCACCTTAGGTCTCGGCTCAAGTGTCTGTCGCCTCCTCAGAGCACCCTTCCCTGAAACCCTGGTGGGCAGGGGCTCTCCCACCTACACCGCCTCATAGCCACCCCTATCTCAAGTTCCCGATTGTGTCTTTTGAAGAGACAAGGTCCACTCTGTCATCTAGGTTAGAGTGTAGTGCATGATCATAGCTCAGTGCAGTCTTGAACTCCCAGGCTCAAATGATCCTCCCACCTCAGCCTCCTGAGTAGCTGGGACTACCACACCACACCTGGGTAATTTCACTTAGCATAATGTCCTAGGTTTATTCATATCGTAGCATGCATTAGAATTTCTTTCCTTTTTAAGGCTGTATAATTCTTGTATGTATGTGCCATATTTTATTTATCTACCCATCCATCAGTGGGCACCTGGGTTGCTTCCACATTTTGGCTCTAGTAAATAAAGTTGCGATGAGCTTGAGTGTATAAACATCGGTCCCGGCTTTCATTTCTTTGGGGGTATGTACCCAGAAGCAGAATTGCTTGATTGTATGGTCCTTCTATTTTTAGTTTTGTGTGGGACCTCCATACCATTTTCCACAGTAGTTGAACCATTTTACATTCCTACCAGCAGTGCTCAAGGGTTCCAGTTTCTTTCCTGGCCTACACTTGTTATTTTCTGTTTTATTTTTTGATAGTAGCCATCCTAGTGTGTGTGAAATGGTATCTCATTGTAGTTTTGGTTTGCATCTGTCTAATGATTTAGTGATGTTAAGCATCTTCTCATGCCCTCACTGGCCATTTGTATATCCTCTTTGGAGAAATGTCTATTCCAGTAAAATGGTAAATTTTATGTTATATACATGTTATAACAATAAAAACAATGTGAATATCTTTTAAAATTTTTTTCCTCTTTGTCTACTGTTACTGTACCAGTTTTCAGAAATCATACTTGAATTGCCTTTTAAATGTATGCTATCAATTTGTTTACTTGAGAGTACAAGTTGGTCTCAAAACAATCTCAGCAAAAGATGCATGTGTCTGTGTGCATTAGCTTATGGGAGGATCTAGGTTATAACTCTGTGTATAAAAGGAACCGGTAAAGCCGAGGTGTTAAAAACTGAGGTGATCAAGGAGGCACCCAGCTGCTGGGCTGTTCTCTGTATTTCCTCCACATGTGGATTTTGGAGGAAATTGCAAATGTCCTTTTTCAAAAAATTCAAAGTCCAAGGTACAGGGCTAACATTGGTAAGTTTTAAGTGTTAAACTTTAGGGAAAGGTGAATATGATGGTTAATATTAGGTGTTGACTTGATTGGATTGAAGAATGCCTAGATGGCTGACACAGTGTTGTTTCTGGGTGTGTCTGTGAGGGTGTTGCCAGAGGAGATTAATTTTTTTTTTTTTCCTTGACACAGAGTCTTGTGCTATCGCCAGGCTGGAGTGCAGTGGTGAGATCCCGGCTCACTGCAACTTCTGTTTTCGGGTTTCAAGCAATTCTCCTGCCTCAGCCTCCCGAGTAGCTGGGACAACAGGCACGCACCACCACGCCTAGCTAATGTTTTGTACTTTTAGTAGAGACGGGGTTTCACCACATTGGCCAGGATGGTCTCGATCTCTTGACTTTGTGATCTGCCCTCCTCAGCCTCCCAAAGTGCTGGGATTACAGGCATGAGCCACCATGCCCGGCCAGGAGATTAATATTTGAGTCAGTGGGCTGGGAAAGGAAGACCCATCCTCCACGTGGGTGTGTACCATCCAATCACCTGCAAGCATGGCCTGAACAAAGTAGACAGAAGAAGGTGGGATAAGCTGGTTTGCTGGGTCTTCTGGCTTTCATCGTTCTCCAGTGCTGAATGCTTCCTGCCCTTAGACATCAGACTCCAGGTACCTCAGTGTTTGGACTCTTGGATGTACGCCAATGGTTTGCTGGGATTCTTGGGCCTGAGCCACAGACCGAAGGCTGCACTGTCAGCTTCCCTGCCTTTGAGGCTTTGGGACTTAGACTGACCCACTACTGGCTTCTTTCTTCTCTCGCTTGTAAAATGGCCTTTTGTGGGACTTTGCTTTGTGATCATGTGAGCCAATTCTCCCTAATACACTCCCTTTCATATGTACATATATCCTATTAGTTGTGTCCCTCTGGAGACCCCTGACTAATACAGTGGGTGTACAAGCATTTGTCACCTATGTGATTATGAAAGTGAAATTCATTCATTCCAAAAATATTTATGAGCATATGATGTGTCAGGCACTGGGAACAGAAATGAGTGAAGCACGACCTCTCACACTCCAAAAGCAAGACTGGTTACATAATTTGTGGGGCTCAATGCAAAAGGAAAATGTGATGCATGTTAGAAAGTTATTAAGAATGTCAAGGCATCAACAGCAGAGAATTAACCCAAGCACAAGGCTCTTCTGAGGCGATGATGGGGTTTGTGGGCCTTGTAAAACTGCACACATCTCAGGCCTGTGAAGCCAGCCCTGCAGTGGTCAGATGGGTGGCAAAAATTCAGGGATCAGCCTGTTGACAGCTGTGGAAGAGGAACCCTGGGCAGTGGGGCTCACAGGCCTTGTCCCAGGGCTTCTCGTTGCCACAAGTTCATCGCATCTCCCTTTGATTAAGTAGATCTCTTTTGACATTGAATATACATTGAACACCTGTCTATGGCAGGTCAGTAAATGTTCTTGTTGCTAATCTCCTCTGTACAATCAGATTATAATCTTGTTCAATATTGGAACAAGATTATAATCTGATTGTACAGAGGAGATTAGCAATTATTCAATATTGGAAGTCCCATCTCTACCCACCCTCATTTTTCTTCCCAGTAGTATGCCAGGTAATTAGTAGGTGTTCAATATACAGCTGACTCGAACAATATGGGTTTGAACTTACACATTGTTAAGTTGTTAACAAACCCATGTTATTCAAGGGTCAACTGTATACTGGTGGG